TTGACAAGCTCTGTGATAAAAGACAACACATGACAAATTCTCTTATAATAACCTATAAAGTCTTGTTAGAATTATTTTTGTAGTGATACTGTTTTACTACATGAGATGTTAAAAAAAGGCACAACCTACTGCCTGTTTTAGAAAGTAATTTTTTATATAAACATTTCCTTTTATATAAAGATTTAATGGAAGCCATTGCTAAAAAATTAATGGGCATGTAAGAAATAGTTTTGAATGTTCTGGGGGAAGGGAAAGATGCCTTGATTTTGTTTATCTGATATTATCCTCACAAAAGTCTGCAGCTAAATCGACATTCACTGAGCAAAGCTGTAATCCAGCCATCACGTTTACAGCATTTGGAATTTACCCATTAGCTTTGGAATTTGGAAAAGTTCATTATAATTGGGGTTGGAGGGTTAGTTCATGCACTTCATTAACTCCTATGCCAAAAACTCTTCACATTAATGGTATCTCCACCCAAGCTATTACATTTTTCTCTGAAAATTATTGGGCAATAAATGTTTGAACATAACTCACGTGATACAATAATGGAATTAATGTAAGTAGAGATGTAATGGTTTCTTTGATTAATGGATTCTTGGACAACACAGCCAACTGAGAATATAATACCTTTTAATTAGAAGCAAGAACAATTTTCTCTTTCAAATATTGGTACTGCTTGCATGGTTTATACCTAACTGCAGGTGAGAATTATTTATAGTTTAGATGAAAGCACTGATCTGTTAAACTAAAAGCTGGATTTTGATCCAATTTCTTATCTATGGCCTAATTTGTTGGTTTTTCCTGTTTCCTTTAAACTCTTCCACTCTACCCTTTTCCCCAAATATTTGGCTCTTTATACTAAACAACACAAATGCCATATCTTATTTTTGAGATGCCCGCCCTGTCTGTTTTAATTTCATTTTCTCATTTTAGTCATCATTCTAACCGTAGATTTTATCCTGAATTAGTTTTTCTCATAGAATTTGACTAATTTCTAAACTCTATAGACAACCCACTTTCCGGGTCCCCTCCTGTCTCTCTTACACAGAAACTGTCTTTCTCTCAATAAAGATGTATAATAAAATAAACTCTCCAATTTCCTTTTCTCTACTTAAAAATAGATATTTATAAGGACTTTCAGATATTTTTGCTCTTGTTATCCTATCCAAACCACTTCATTCAAGGAAAATGGCATTTTGAATTCAGTTTTGTAGATGAGGAATCAGCAGGACTCAGAAATAATCATCTTATCCAAGAAACACAGGGCTCAATTGGAAAGAATTAATTAAAACTATCATGTCCTCTCTTTAGTCATTGAGCTGTGAATGTGTTTAATGACCTGGTGTCTGCCATTGGCCACAGTCCTGGAAATGTGTTAAGGGAACAGGACCATTCTCACTTTGTCAGGCTACAGATGAAATTGTTAGGGAGACTGTGAGTCTGGCCTGCGTGGAGGTAGATTTAATGCAGCCAGCACTGGGAGCTGTTAACATTTTCCTGTCTGAGATTTGTGGGTGGGCAGGAAGTGTTGGTGATACTCAAAATCTGACCACTCAGTGCAGTTCCTTAACTTGCAATAGCAGTAGAAGAGGATAAAACCTTAGTTGTGAACTCACCAATCAAGGCACGCGAATGCATGGTTGTGAATACTTTTGCCTCATGTCACTTCTTCAGGGCTATCCCGGATTTGGTATGATGAGCTGGCACATTCCACAGTTCCTTTCCCCTGCCATAGACAGGGACTGACACCACCCACCCTGTATCCCAGATTATCTAGCAACTTTTCAAAAGGGTATGGCAAAGTCGAATGGCCTTTGTGAGTAATCCTGTCTCCCCTAGGCACTCTGGAGTTAAGATCTCCCAACTCTGGCATTTTAATGGCACCAATGGTAGCTGTCATTGAGGATTCCTTTGTTGCTATGCGGTCTTTGTTAATCTCATTGGTATTGTTCTTGCAGCATTTCAGGGAAGGTGCTAACACTTCAGGGTACAAAGCTACTGAGATACTCTCAAAGTCAATGGCCTAGCTCTCCCATCTTTTTGGTAGGTTACAGAAATTCAGCATTCAAAGCAGAGTCAACTGAAAATATGAAAGCCATTTTTTATACCATCTGAAGTCCCTTAATGTACACATGAAAAAATTAGGAAATCGGGGTTGGAAAAATAATAAGTAATGGTATAAAGTGGAACTCATTGCTACTGGATGTCTTTGAGATAACCAGAATATGAGAGCTCAGTTTCATTCTGCTCTTTGTTTTTCTCTGAGCTGGGTCACCTCTTTCTAATTATGACAGAAAACTACTCAAGCATGGAACTATCACAGCATTTAAAGACTGCTGTGTTTAGGGGCTGCCACTGCTCTTTGAAATCTGCATGTAGAATTGATCTCTAAGCCAAGGATATTTGACCTCTGCTGTACCAAGGGCTCCATTTGCAACCTCCCAGGAGCCCAGGAATTGTGCCTAATTTGCATGAATATTAACATAAATCTCCATATGCATGGTTTGCAGGTTTGGACCATGAGTTGATTATGTCTTCTTATTTGTTCTGAAAGTTTAGAATTGGAGGTAAAGGTGAAGGTCATAACTATCCAAAAGAGGAAACATTTGCTGTCCAGGAAATTTCTTTTAAGCATTTCTTCCTGAATATGCCTTGTTCAGATGAGGCTTTTAACTAAAACTCAAGCTCTTTTGGAACTGTAAGGAATTGAATGACAACTGTGGTCGACAATCTACTACCTTCTGTTTCCCAGGGCCACCATGGAATGAGAAGCTAGCAACAAAATGGTGAATATACGTCTATAAATATTACTATAGACTGAGTTCTTATTGTCCAGGTAAGACTTTATCTCTAGATCACATGCTACACATTAAGTGATTGGAGAAAAATATGGGATTCTTTGGTTACCAGGCCATCTCCATGATTCAGAAATTAAGAGCAGGCTTTAATCTAGCAGAGGTTAGTCCTATGTCTTAATTTCATTTATTCCACACCACTGCATCACAGCCGCCATGAGGAGAGCAGCCCTGCCTTTACATCACTGCAGTCTTAAAACTATGGCTTTGAATTCTGAGTCTATTATTCTGCCTTAGATGAATCTTGCTTGGTAAGTTGCTTAAATTCTTTATGCATTGGTTTCCTGCTCTTTATGGCTTAACAATATTTACTCCAAACAATAGGTAAAAGATTGAATGTGTTACTATTGACATGGGTATCATCACTACTACCATTATTATTGCTTTATCTTTTAACAAGTCTAATACTTATGCAGAATTAGTTCTATCCTGATTCTGAGAATGCTGTATCCCAAAAATGAAAGTATTCATTGGAAACATTTATCTTGCCAATAATTGCAACAATTTTCTTGACTATATTCATTGATATTAACTTTGTGAAAGTTCATTTTTAAAAGATTTACACTAGATTTTCATAGAGCAAGGTGGTGGAGACTTATACAACATGATCTCATTTTTTCCTACATTAGCAACCTTCTTTCATTTCTCTGCATATAAAGTAGAATCTATTGCTACTCGTGTTTAGGATCAGAGCTGGATCAGAGATAACTTAACATGCCTTCTCCATATTGTCCTTCAGGTTAAGTTATTGGACCTGTTATTGTGTACTGAGCCTAAATTTTACCAAATGGTTTTTCCCACATTTTTTTTAACTAACTGGGAAATATCAAATAAAGCTTAAATCCCTTTCTCATAGGCTGATATGACTCAGTATGCACATGGAAATCCATGGTCTGCCATAATATTCCAGAGTCTCTAAGGAGACATATTCAATTTAGACCCTCTCTGATCTCTTGGATACATTATGTGATACAGACTTTAGGTGAAGTGAATCCTTGAGATTTTTCTAGAAAGACATACTGAGAAACACAAACATTCCAAACTTCAGGTTTAGAAGTTTCTGTAGGCACAGCAATAAGTAGAAAATGGCACACTCGCATTAAGCTACCAGTGTTCTACAATGGACTGATTTCCTTCACTACTAAAGGATTTCCTCCACTGCATGACGATTCCAAAGCATGCTCAATGAAAGCAAAAATGAAGTGGAACCCCTTGCAGACAGCTGACACTGTAGATCATACCTCTAAATCCCAAAGTTCTGCTTCCTTGCAGGGATTTGTAAAAGGTGAAAAATCATTGAGTTTCAACAGGTTGTATCTGAACCGCCTTGTGGGGCTAACCTCTCCAGACACTGGCTTTGAAATAGGGCAGAATTTGACACCGAAGAAAAAGAAAAAGGTTTACAGGACAATATATCCAGCGGCAGTGAGAAAAAAGTGCTTGGCAGTGAGACTACAGAGGACATAGGCCTCAGAGAAATAGAGAGCTGACTTTTACAGTCTTCATTTGGTGTAAACCACTCTATTAGTAAACAATTCCTTTACAAGTTTCAGCAACAACTAATCACACGTGCTAATAGCAGAGTTTAAATCTCCTCCTCTTGTTGTGTTCATGGTACACAAATCAGTAAAACTTGATCCAGATAGTAAGAAGGTATTCAATTCTATTTCATGAAGATTGTCACCAAATTATCCTTCAACCTCTGTCCTTCAGAATTAAACATTCCAGTACCTTTTAATTTTTTTCTTGGATTTGTTTTCTACTTAAGTTACTTGTCTTCTTACTGAATTAAATAACCAGTAGGCCTTCAGATGACCAGAAGTAATATGTTATGAGATACTCCTTTCAAGGGCCAAAAGATGCAGTTGGGTGTGTGTGTGTGTGTGTGTGATGTATATACTGCTTTAAAACGTCTATTTTTTTTTTTTTTTTGGCAAATAAATATTTGTTCCACTTCCTCTGCTAGGAAAATTCATTGCTCTGCTAAATGGAACAACATGAAGAAAGGCAAGGATGCAGAGGATTACAGACATCTGTGAGACCACGGGACTCTGTAAGGAGCTTAAATGATGGGCCAAGAGCAGGGTCAGGAGGATCCAGGTTGGACCTGGTGATTCTAGAACCACAAACAGTTTTTCTCACCTGTGTAGAATGTCCTTGTTCATGAAATTGAGATGAAAAGTCTTCCTCTCATTTCACCAGGCTTATATCTCTATTTGGTGGAAGGAAATGATGTGAACCTACCAGAAAGAAAGCAACATAGTTCAGATAACTGCTCTGTCATCCTGCTTTCCTCGAATGACCTAAATGAGATGATATTGTTCCTTTCTTTACAAAAAGCCAAGAACATTCCCAAGAAATTCCAACATCCAACAACTACCAGCATTGCCAAACTTGCACAGAAATACGCAAAATTCCCTTCTCTAGATTTCCAGTGTCAAAAATAAATCAATACAGTTCAACAAAATACTTTTGTATGAGAATGTACTTTCTTCAAGTCTCCATGTCTTTATTGGGAAGGTGAAGATTACCTACTGTGTGTCAATCCTTACCTTGCCCTCTCCTCCTAGCCCATGAGGGCCTTTCTCTGCTTGAATGATAAGACCCCTTATGTTTCCTACCTCTGTCTCTTATAATTTATCAAGTGTCTTTGTTTCACTCCTGATTTCCTTCATTTTGTTTGTTTTAGGAGCTTTCATAAAAATCTTGTGGTCCGTTATAATCAAGGTTTGAAAGAGAAAAGATTTAAGATGACACACAGTTTGCAGGATTATTATATAATAGTCACCCAAAAGTCAAATACAGAAGAATACAAGAGATCTGTCCATGCTGGAGACCCAATGAGTACAACAATATCTCATGCAAGTCCATATCAAAGACCCGCACTGGGAAGCCCCAAAGGTCAGTGGTGGAGCCTAGAAAGTCTACACCAGCAGAGTAAAGATCTGTGCCTGCAGACTGAGGGATCTGCACTGGAGCCAGGAAACCACGCTTAAAGCAAGGACCAGAGCTCCCTCACAGAGAGCAGAGTGATACTCAGCAACAGTAAGGACCTGAGCTCCTCTGAGAATGAGAACAGCCAGGTATGCAGCCAGGTATAGCAAGGAAAATCAGAAAAATCAGCGGTGTACAGCCTTCTCCTCTCATTCTCTTTTTATGCTGCTCCTGCAACAATTCTCAGGTGGGTCTTCCATGCCCAGAACCTCCCTGACTCAGCTGAGTTGGAGGCTCCAAATCGACTTTTAGATAATCCACCACATAGTCTAACTAGGCCTGATAAGAGAGAGAGAAAAAAGGCACATCTCACACCCAAGTGTATGAAACCTGATTACAGAATGCTTTTTCCATGCTCTTATCTTAGGAGACTGAAGAACTGTGACTCTGGGATGGAATCCATGAGGAAATATTCATGCCAGTGAGATGCAGAGGGAGCGATACCTGGTGACACTGCTTGTTGGCATCTGTTTCACCATCATTATTTGCTTGGCTGCCCTACTAATAAAACATCCTTCTAACGCACTCCCAGCTTCCTCCCAATTCCCATAAAACAAAAACAATAACCTTTTAAGGTATAAATCAGATTACATCACTCTCTTGTCAAAGAGCCCAGTGCCTCACCATTACGCTTGAATGAAATGAACTCAGCTTGCCTGGCAAAGACGCTCCTGGTCGGGCTCTCTGCCCTCCTCTGTTGCCATCTCCACTCCTATGGCTCAGCTCCCCACCCTCACACCGCCCTCTCACGCAAGTACAGCTTCGTCCCACTGTCCATTTTCCTCATAATCTCATATGAAAGTGTGTGAAATTCTTTGTTTCTCTGTCTTCCTTTGGACAACATGAACATTTTTGGTCCTATGTGTCATCATTTGTCCCACAACTAAAACTATACATGGCATAGATCCAGTGCTTAGTATTTGTCAGATAATTGAAATACTTCTTTTAAAAACTTTTTAAAATTTTAATTATTTTTTTCTTTAAATTTATCGATACATTTTAAATACACATAAGGATCATATCATAGGGAACGTGTACCAGAACATGATATATTTTGATTCCTCATTTTTCCCAGTCCCCTCTCCTCCCTCCAACTATTCTCCACTTATTTACAAAATTTTATTCCTATTTTATCCTTTTTTTCCTTTTCCCTTCCTTCCCTTCCCCCTTTCCATGCCACAGTGAATAAGCACACCGATGTTTATAGCAGCACAATCTGTAGTAGCTAAACCTTGGAAAAAAACTCAAATGCCCATGAAGTGGGGAATGGATAAAGAACATGTGGTTTTTGTATACAATGGAGTACTATTCTGCCATAAAGAAAGACAACTTGAGACATTTCTGGGTAAATGGATGCAACTTGATATCATACTTTTAAATGAAATAAATCGGATTCACATGTATAAACACCACATTGTCTCCCTAGTGTGAGAAACTGCAAGAGCAAATAAGAAGATAATTGCTTCTTTTCACTCAGTAGCTTTCTTACAGTTTAGTATTAGTCTTCAGAGGAGTAAATAATTGACAAAGAATATCTGACTAATTTTTATTAGTGAAGGCTTATTGGAAAATTAAATAATTTTGAGTTGGAAAATTAAATAATTTTTGAGTCATCTGTTTCTGGAAAAGCTATTAAATAATTACTTCATGAGGAATTCCTGTGTTATTTTCTTGGTGTCCTCACTGAGATAGAGGATTATGAAGTCTCCATAGAAATCACATCCATTCACCCAGCAACTTTTCCCTAACATTTGACACAAAGGGAAACTGAGGTATAGACAATCACTGCTGAGGTTTTAGGGACATAGAAACAGAAGAGGAAGGAACAAAGGCCACAGTGTCATAGAAATAGATCGCCTTTGGCCCAGCTCTGTCTGATCCTATGGGAAATGTAGAATTGCTGGCAGAATTACTAGTAACAGACACCAGGATCACCGTAGCAAAGACTGGACATCTTTGAGGAACAATAGCCACAGCAAAGAGGTAGCTTTCCTTCATGCCATAATCATTTCTTGCAAAGTGGATTTGGTTACACTAGTGTGACTGAGGAAGTTACCTCGGAGGCATTGCAAAAAGAAAAAAAAAATCAAAACTGTAACGTCTTTAGAAATGACTTAGAGATGGAAGGAGATATTCTTTAGCTATACTGAATTAAAATTCTCTCCCCCACCCCAAAGTGGAGAAAATACTATTTCCTTTCCAGTGCACCTACTAGAACATTGTTCTAGGGCCATTATCTTACACACTTGATGAGAATTTGCCATACAAGGAAGTCACAAAATGTTAGGTCCAGCAGGGAATTGGTAGAGAAGTATGCACAAGATACTCCTAGAGTCTACATGGAATGTACATTTATCCAAAAGCACTCTGCCAGGGAGCCACCCTCTGAAGGAAATTCACCAACCCAAATTTAACTCAGCATTTGACAAAGGATCAGCATGAATCACCAAACACATCTGCAAATTCCACACTTCCATGTTACTAGGTCCAAAGTCTTATTTCTCTCATTAATTCATTAATTTACTGCCCGTATTCAATGAACATCTAGTGAGAATTTCAGCACCAGGGTCCAAACCAGATGCACTGGGTACAAAGACATTCACTTTTTCTTGTTTAAGTTGGAACCTAGGTTTCTTTGACATTTCTTATTCTGTGACAGAAAGTATCTCTTGAGGAAAATTTTTCCTCATGGAAAGAAAATAATACCTTCAGAACTCTGGGCAAAAACCAAGTAGAAAGTGGTAGCTAAGACAGACTTATTTTGATCTCAGAAACAACATGGATTTAACAAAGTTAAACTTCCAAACACACTTTAAGTGAATCGATTAGCTTTTCCTGTCTTCCTAGATTTTCTACTTCACCCCTAAATTCAGGCCAGCTTTTTTGCAATGTTTGTACATTCAAGATCTAGGAAATGTACACGAAGGAATAATCCTACTCAAATATTGCTCTAGTATTGGAGAATAACATATAACACTGGACATCCTTTTATATTATTTAATAACTTAATTCCACATGTTTGAATACAATTGTTGACTGATTTCCAGCCCTTCCTCAAGGTGGGAAATGCATTTGATTCTTTGATTCTTCCTGTTGCAAGGTACAAACATCCCTGCAGTCAGGATTGGGCACTGGATTGGGGTTGCTACAGGCATGCAAGATCTGGAGACATGCAGAGTCTAGAATTTCTGATGCAACTCCTAAGAGTGATGCCTAACTCTCCCAGATGAATATTATGTATTTTTGTCACTATCTAGTAATATTATGTATTATGTATTTTTGTCACTATCTAGTGCAGAGATGAGAAAACTGTTACAGTACACACTAATTTATTTTCTAGCTGTATAATTTATTAACGTAATAAATTATACACAAGCAAGCTTGTTCCCTCTGTAGGCACTCTTTGATCACGGAACAAGACTGTGTGTTTTCAAAGCATGTGTGACTTGTATGAGGAACATACTTATTCAGTTTTGGGATAATGAACCTATTCCATTTTTATAAACCCGAATCTTTGAACTAGAAGTATGTTGAAAAGAAACTATTTACTTCTGTCTCCATTGGTTTTAACCTGTTGTATATTATTGGACTTTATTATGTGTGATAATATAAGCAAAAACTTTTATAGACAAGGAGATTATACAGAAACCATTGTGCATTTTCTGTTAGTTGATTCTAAATACCCTGTAATACTGTCATTCTCTTGAATGGTTTTACATTGTCTTGATATGTTTGATGCTACAGTATATGAAGTTATACCCAAAGATTTTAAGGAAAGAGACACTAGGGTAACTACTTTTATATCGAGATTATTTTGTGGTGAAACACTATTTTGCTTAAATGGCTATGTTTTGACCTCGCTGTTTTGTTGTTATGCCCTCTTTTTTTTAATCTCAATCTCCTTTTTATTATCTACTTTTTCATTTTTACCCTTTTAATTAAGGGAAAAATAAATAAAAATAGCAGGATATATTATAGTAACCCACATTGATTTCCTATTAACTTGATTTGAAACCCTGTATTGCTCTCACCATTTTGATTTGACTGATTTTCCTCTATTCTGTTTTACTTGATAGTACCAAGTTCGAGAGTATAGGCAACAACTCTGAAGACAGTAAGATTCATTATGACGCCCATTATGGTTGACTATTATCTTCTTTTGAAGTCCTCTAACGTCTCCAATGTTTTGGTTTTATTGGTCTTGTTCTTCACTGTTTTGTTCAATTTTATTATAACTGATGATATA